TCCTGCTTCTTCATTCCTTCTTTCACCTCCAGCTTACCCACGGGTTCCCTTGCCTCCTGCCCAGACATGTCTTAGACGCTCCAGGTTCCGCAGGCAGCAAACTCTGGGGGGCTTCCTGGTCTGAAAATGCCTTCAGCCCTCTTTTTTTCTGAGATGGAGTCTCGCTCTGTAGCCCAGGCTAGAGTGCAGTGGTGCGATCTCAGCTCACTGCAACCTCCGCCTCCCAGGTTCTTGCAATTCTCCTGTCTTAGCCTCCCGAGTAGCTGTGACTGCAGGTGCGCACTGCCATGCCCAGCTAATTTTTTGTGTTTTAGTAAAGACGAGGTTTCACTGTGTTGCCCAGGCTGGTCTCGATCTCATGAGCTCTGGCAAGCTGCCAGCCTCAGCTTCCCAAAGTGCTGGGATTACAGGCATGAGCCATTGTGCCTGGCCTTTTTTTTTTTTTTTTTTTGAGATAGAGTCTCACTCTTGCACAGGTTGGAATGCAATGGTGCAATCTTGGTTCACTGCAACCTCCGCCTCCCGGGTTCAAGTGATTCTCCTGTGTCAGCTTCCCGAATAACTGGCATTACAGGCATATGCCACCATGCCCAGCTAATCTTTGTATTTTTAGTAGACATGGGGTTTCACCATGTTGGTCAGGCTGGTCTTGAACGCCTGACCTCAGGTGATCTACTTGCCTCAGCCTCCCAAAGTGCTGGGAACACAGGTGTGAGCCCGTGTCTGGCCCTTCATTCTTGATACAATTTCTGGGTACACAATTCTAGGCTATCACTATTTCTCCCGAGACTTTGAAGATATTATTGACTTTCTTTCTGGCTTCCACTGTTGCTTTCAATAAACCACTTGTTTTCTTCTTTCCAGATAATCTTTTTCTTTCCTGCCTACCTTCAGATCTCTTTGTCACCGGGTTCTGCATTTTCACCAAGACGTGATTGTCTAAGTACAGCTTTCTGACTATGCTGCTTGGGAGCCGCTGGATTCCTGAATCTAAGGAGCAGGGGCTCCCGCAGGTTTGGAAAAGTTCTCAGCCGTATTTCTCTGAATACTTGCCATATTTTCTTTCCCCGCCTTCTGGAATTACTGTAAACTGCAGATGCTATACTAAACTGCCTTCTTGTCCCCAGACCATCTCATCTTTTCTAGCTCTTTCTGTGTTGCACTTTGGGGTCATTTTCTTCAAATAGCTCCCGATTCTTCAGGAAAGACATCATGGATTATTTTTTAGAAAATTCCATTTTTATTTCAACAAGTTCTCTTTTTAAAATCTGCTTGGTCATTTTTATAGTCTCTTGCTTCCTGCACATAAATTCCTTGTTTTCTTTAAATATATTAAACATTCTCATTCCGTGTGATGTGTCTGCTTACTCTAGGACCAGCACATTGATGTGTTTGCTTCTGTCTTTTTGCTGGGCCTTGCTTATGGTATTGCATGTGTGTGTGTGCGTGCATGCGTGCGTGCGTGCGTGTGTTTACAATTTATTTCCTGTACCTTAGGATGTTTTGACATGTTTTTTAAAAAAACCTTCTGTGCTGCTTCATGGTAGTCTCATCAAAAAAAAAAACAAAAAAAACAAACAAAAAAAAAAACTCTTCTGGCTGGGAGACTGCCCCTCCAGGCCAGCCAGTCCTTAAGAGATAAGGGCCCAGCTGGGTGCATGCCTCTGCAATGCAACCTCATTAGTCCAGAGCCCACCTCTATCTGGCCAAAGCACTCAGGCAGCCAGCAACCACTCCTACAGCTTGGAGCCCATGGAAATCACTCCAGCTGGCCAGCTGCACACCCGCCCTGCCTTACCTTTCCTGGGGAAGCCCCAGGGAAGGTCTGGCCGAGGCTCTCCAGGGCTCCTGCCTGTCCCCTCGGGCTGCACTTGGCTGACCGTCTCATACTAGAACACAGAACAGGGAGCTTGCCTCCTTGGGACTGGAAGATGAGGATGATGATTTTACAGTGAACGTACACTTCTTGGGATGTCTTCTAACTGATGTCTTTCTGTGCTGAACTTTGGGGTCATTTCTTCAAACAGCTCCCGATTTGGAGGTGAGTTTCTCAGTTTCTACACTGTGTCTGCCATGCTCCAGGAAATACTACCAACTGCAACTTCTTTTTATTCTTTGTTTTGAGACAGGGTCTTGCTCGATTGCCCAGGCTGAAGTACAGTGGCACAATCATGGTTCACTACAGCCTCCACCTCCTGGGCTCAAGTGATCCTCCCACTTCAGCCTCCAGAGTAGCTCAGACCACAGGTGTGCACCACCATGCCTGGCTAATTTTTTTTAAGAGACAGAGTCTTGATATGTCGCCCAGGCTGCTCTCAAACTCCCGGGCTCAAGCAATCCTCTGGCCTCAGCCTCCCAAAGTGCTGGGATCACAGGTGTGAGCCACCACACCTGCCCACATATGGCTTTGAAAGGAAAATGTAAGCACCATACACTGCGTTAAAGTAAATCAGCTCAGAAACAGCGCCACCCACTGCACACCCTGCCTCATAAGCAGTAGCTGCACAACAAGCAATGTGGGCTCGGAGATTGGAGGGCAGACGCGGGGCATTCTGAAGAGTGGAGGCGGGCGGGGGGGTGAGGGTGAGAAGCCCATACCGCACCACCATACACCACACCCATGTACCACAACTGCACCTCACACCACCAGTTTATACACACACACATTCACACACATGCAATCACACACACACAGGCAATCACACATACACACTCACACACATGCAATCACACATACACATGCAATCACACACACACACAGGCAATCACATACACACATGCAATCACACACAGGAAATCACACACTCACACACATGCAATCACACACACACAGGCAATGACACATACACATGCAATCACACACACACAGGCAATCACATATACACATGCAATCACACACACACAGGCAATCACACACAATCACATATACACAGGCAATCACACACATACAAGCAATCACATACACACATGCAATCACACGCACACAACCACACAGACAATCACACACACTCTTACATGCAATCACACACACAGGCAATCACACACACAATCACATACACAAATGCAATCACACACACACTATCACACAGGCAATCACACAGACTCTTACACACACGCAATCACACACACAGGCAATTACACACACACAATCACATACACACATGCAATCACACACACACAATCACATACACACACAAGCAATCACACATGCACATTCTCACACATGCAATCACACAGACACACAGGCAATCACATATACACATTCTCACACACACACTCACACATACAGGCAATCACACACACACAGGCAATCACATACACACACGCAATCACACACACACGCAATCACACACATACACACACACAGGAACTTCCTAAGTTTTTACAAAACTAAAGCAGACAGAAGAGCAGCACAGTTTAGGAGCAGCCGCACCAGCTCTCAGCAGGTCCCAGTGCTCCTGAACACAAAGCCCGACCCTGCTGATGCGCTTCAGGGTCTGCTTCCAAGTCCTCGAGGCCAGGCCCTCTGAGAGGACTAAGGACATTCTGGTGAAAGCCGATTTGGTTTGTACGACAGAGGAGACCTTTTGGTGCCTGACACTTTCCTTTTTAAAGACATAGAAGAGACAGGGCGTGGTGGCTCACGTCTGTAATCCCAGCACTCTGGGAGGCCGAGGCGGGCAGATCACAAGGTCAGGAGTTTGAGACCAGCCTGCCCAACATGGTGAAACCCCATCTCTACTAAAAATACAAAAATTAGCCTGGCGTGGTGGCGGGCGCCTGTAGTCCCATCTACTCGGGAGGCTGAGGCGGGAGAATCACTGGAAGCCGGGAGATGGAGGATGCAGTGAACCGAGATCACGCCACTGCACTCCAGCCTGGGTGACAGAACAAAACTCCATCTCAAAAAAAAAAAAAAGACACAGAACATGGAATGTGTGTGTTTGAACTGAACCAAGTATTTTGATATCCTGACACCTGCAGAGGCCTGAAGACACTGACGGGCACAGGACCGCTCAAGTGGCGTCTCGCTCTGGAGGGGAGCCCTTCCTTCCTGGCTCACCTCCCAGCCCTCACCCGGCCACACCTGTGGGACCATTTGACAAGTCCAAGGCTAGGATGCTGCCAGAGGTTGCCACACTCAAGGAGGCCCTGCTGGGAATGCCAGGCAACCTCGGGCAGGTGAGGGAGCCGGGGCACTTTGAGTTCGAGGCACAGACCCTTATTCCACAGGTCCACGCCCCCCATGCAGGAGACACCGGCTCTTGGTGACACAGGCCAGAGACACCACCTCTGGCTGAGCTGGAGAGAGAACTGGTTGGGAAGCCGCTCAACTGTCTCCATGCCAGTTTAAAGCAGCAGCCAGTGGGGCTGGAAGGGGGCAGGGATGCTGGTCTGGAATCCATCCTGTGCTGAGTATGACCTGTCCAAGAGGGGCTGAAGGCCACTGGCTCTCTGGACCCCAGGGTTCAGGGCCACCTAGCTGTTTCCTTGCCCATGGGAGAGCCGATGGCAGCGGTTGGGGCTGGACGGCCCTCCTCTCCCTCCAGCTGCAGCCACCTCCTCCTGTGCGTCCACTCCACGCCCTCCTCCTGGGTGACTGCACGCTACACTACAGCTCAGAGCTGCCTTTAGACCCCTGGCCCTGGCCCCAAAAGCGCCATAGGTGCAGGTTTTTAGAGATCACCTGTGGTCCCCCCGGCACCAGGATGGCCATACAGGCTCCCTGCCTGCTTGTCCCTCGTGGCCACCCAAGGTCAAGCGTGAAGACCAAAATACCTGCCCCAGGCCCCCGCGCCCTGCAGCCACACAGCTGCACTCTGCAGACATGGCGTCACACACCCAGCCTGGGCCTCTGAGGCCTCTCCTGGCCTGCCGCTGCGCTTCATCTGCTGTGTCTGGGTGTTCTCAAGGGACAGCTATTCCCAGGGTCCAGTCAACCAGATCCCAGAAACTAAGCCCCAGCCTCCCTCTGCCCCAAATGAAACTAGAGCTCCCAACAGGCTGCCCGTGGCTCACTCTTTAATAGATGCCCGGAAACATGGAGCTCGCACTTCAATGGGAAGAGGGAACCCAGTGGGTGAAGCGGAGGCCATGCCCCGTGGCTGACAGCTAGTCACTCTCACTGCAAACACAGGCTATGCAGAAACCCAGCACACACCGGTCATGCTAACTTCGCCCTGCTGGCTCCTGAGCCCTGTGCCAGCCCCACCCCACGCTCCTGGAGGGCTCTGAGGAGGGGTGGAGGTGGAGAAACAGGGGCAGTGGGCACAGCCTTCCGCATGGGATACCTGAAGGCTCAGCCCTGGTGCCCCGGTACAGAGGCGCACCTGGCTCAGGTGTGCAGCACGTGCTCCTCCATGTGCAGATGCCTATATGCCACCTGATCCAATGCCCCAGACCCCTCTGGACCACACACAACCCACCCTGAGGCACCCTGCAAGCAAGCAGTTAACTCCAAAGCCCCAGCCCCAGTGCACAGACCCTGGACAGCACCCAGCTTCCAGGCACAGAAACCAACCCCCGAGGCTCATGCTGGGCAGAGTGGGACGCAAGGCCCAGAGGCCGCCAGGGCTGGCCAGAGACACCGCCCCATCCTCTCGGACAACCCTGTGTGGAGCCGAGGCTGGCACCCAGCGCCTCCTGGGGCTTAGCACCCACATGGTGGGCTTCTCAGGCCACTTCTCCCCTCTGGGGCTACAGGATGTTCAGGGAGAAAACAACCCATGAGCTGGGGCCCCTGAGCATGGGCTGGGCCAGGCATGGCGCCGCCAAAGGGGACGTTCCCAGGTGGGAAGCAGGATCCCACCCAGCAGGCACAGCAGACAGATGGGACGGGAAGACCCCAGACAGAAGCCCCAGGCCCCAGCCCCCAGCCTCCCCATCAGCCGGTGCCAGCCAAGGCTTCGGGCTACTTGGAGACCGTGGGCCACCAGTCTGGCACAGATGCGGCTAAGGCCACCTGAGCGCCCTTGGAGATTCTGATGTGCAGAGGACCCTTGATCTTCTCTGAGCGCAGCAGGGCCAGCCCCACGTTGCCCTGGCCGGCCCTGTACTTGCCCACAGCCTGTCCTGACTCAGTTAGCACTGCCGCGCCTGGGGCGATACCACGGGTGGGAGGGGGGTCCAAGAGCCGGACAGGGAAGAGGCGCTTGCGGATGACGCCCATGTGGTGGGTGCGGGCAGTCAGCTCCTGACCAATGTAGCAGCCTTTGGTGAAACTCACGCCGTTCATGAAGGCCAGGTTGGACTCCAGAGGCAGGGCCACCCCTGGAGGCAAGTCTCGGACACCCTCAGGAACCCCTGCAGAGATCGGACGGGGAAACCAGCGAGCATTGAGTGCATCCAGCCCCACCCATGCAATCCGGCCCAGCGTGTCCACCCAGCCCATACCTTGCAGGTACCGGTGCTGGTGATAATCCCACAGGTCCCCTAGCCGGCTCCCGGGAACCAGGGCTGGGCCTTCATTCTGGGTGAGGAGCCGCCACCCCATGCGTGGCGTTCGCGGGTCGCGGATGAGGATGGCGTCGGCCCCCGCCCTCTCCTGCAGCGGTGCGGCCCCGCAGGCCTCAGGGGAACCGGGTAACACCGCCCACACTTGTAGATTCGGGTGCGGCTCCACCGTGACCTTCCGTCGGATCCTGTACAGCGCCAGGTGCTTCTGCAGCGCGCCCTGCACGGAGCTGTCACACTCCAGGAGGAAGCCAGACATCTCCTCCGAGTGCTCCCGGAGCCTGCAGGGAGACAGGCAGGGCACGTGTTGCCGGCTCACCAAGCGAATGGGCCAGAAAGGGCTGCCCCATGGAGCACGCCTTACCCAGGCAGATTACAGAACCAAGGCAGCCAACGCAAACAGCCCTGCCCTCAGCCACAAGGGGCTGCACCTTCAGGGCAAGCGCCTGGTCCCCGCGCAGGGGCCATGCCCACAGCTAGACGCGCACCGTGGAGACCAGTACAGAGCACGGTGCACACAGCTACACGGAGCTGCGTGCTGACAATGAGCATCAGGGCCCGCAGGGTACACCCAGACCGGCGCCCGGAGAGCCCTGCCAGAGCTGCACTACCAGAGCTCAGGTCTAAGTGTCCAGAAGCGAGCTCACCGAGCCAGCTCAGACAGACCCCGCCTCCCCAGGGACTACAATGGCCTGCCCAAGGGCACTGTCCAGAGAGCCTAGGGCAGAAATAACAGTTCGCTGGATGGGGGAGCAGGGCCAGGCAGGGCCCAGCAGGGGAACAGTGTGCACAGCCACTGAGAACCAGACCTATCTCTTCCAGCCCCAGGAAGCCACTGGGGAGCTGGAGGGTCCTAAGGTGGGCAGGAGAGAGGACCCAGGAGCCCAGGAGGCAGGTTGGGGAGGTGCAGCATGCCTGAGGCCCACTCTGCCTGTGCCCACCACCTGCTTCCCCAAGCCAAGTCTCAGATCCCAAATGGGTCCCCAGGCAGCCCTCCTCAGAGGATTTCGGCAGGCAGCACCACATGAATGACCCGACCAGATGGATGGCAGGGCCACTTACAGAGGGACACAGAGGAGAGGCCCAGGCAGCATGGGGCACATCAGGTGGGGACACCTGGGCTGAGCCGCCTCCGTGGCCGGGGCTGACTGCTGGTGTGGACTGCACAGGGCTCCACAGCCCAGTAGGAGCTGAGACAGGGAGGTGGTAAGACCCCCCCCCCGAGAACCTGCCAAAGAGGAGCCCAAGAGCAGGTGGCC